CATATAATCCACCTTTTGCACAGGTATAGTTTTAAATCCTTATTGCTTAGTTTCATCCATCAGAAAGGTTTTAGCAATGACAACAGTAAAGCTTTTTGTTCCTACTGTGCTTGAGAGCTTGAATATTCTTTTAATGGCACTACAGAATACATTACAATGAGCATTGCTGACAAAGGGACAGGAGGTGAAGGGGTTAAAAGTGACAATTAGAAGAGAGTTTCGTCTTTAGTCAAAACCCCACTAAGGCAAAGATTTACAAACAAACAAACAAACAAACAAAAACCAAACCAAAAACCCTTCCCAAGTCTCAGCTCTAGACAATTCCATAGTCGGTGCCATGCTTGAAATGAAATACAGACTCAAAACACTTGGGACTCATCTCTATTCACTTGCTTTGCTTTCTTCAGGAAGTTTTCACTGAACAACAGTCCCAAAGTAGGCCAGTCCATCCTGGAATGAAACTTTTAAACAACCTGGCCTCAGGAAGGGAGGTCTCGAGTACAGAGGCCATCTTGTTAAAGGAAGAAATCCCCAGCAGTGGGACTAGCTGTGAGAATAAAGTGTTATTTATATAATAAATACTGCCACGTTGGGGAATTACAAAGTAGTAGTCCTATTTATGCAGAGCAGAATTTGTTTTCAACTGCACCTTTTCTTTCCAACCTGATTTCTCACAATGCAACCCATTATGACAGAAGGATCTGAAAAAGCTTTTTATATCCTACCAAATATACACAACGATAATTAGTTCTCTTTTGTTATTCTTCTGTAAGGGTTTATTATTGTGGAGAAGCTTTTGCAAATTGAAAGAGGTTGCATTGCATTCTGAAGGCAGAGCTGTTCTTGTTTTTTATTGTCTAGAGATAATTGAACAGAAAAGTTCAGGAAAAAAGGTGAAAATATAATTCATTATGAACTCTATAGGAAGATGAGATTACCACATCTTAATTCTTTTTAGACCAGTATTTTATAATCACATTCCACAATATGTTAGTTCATGCAATGTAGGTGAAGCTTCATACTAGACAGAAGCAACTGTCAACGCAAGTTTTGTTTCCTAACATTATAAGCATTTCTACAAAATGTATAAATCACATCTTATCTACTAATATTCTCTTTATAATCTTCAGGTAGTTTGACAACGAGTGAAGAAATTCAGTGTTAAAGTCTCCAAAGAACTTAATTCACTATAAGTGATAATTATATTTCCCTCAAACGCTTCCCAAAAGTAGCAGCTAAAACTGACCTATTTTAAGAATTTTAGGGATCTGACTTCTGATATAATGAGCCTGCTGGGTTTCACTTTGTCATCACTGTTACATTTCACACTTCTAGCTAATTTCCAGTTAGACTGGGAATTAAAGAGCCACTGCCTTGTGTCCATCATTGTTCCATTGTCTGGCTCTGCCTTTAAAATTCCCATCTCGTGGAAGCTGGTGTAGTCAGTCAGGTGCAATTAGTTTGCCCTCAATCTACCATCCGTGGCTTTTTGCGGGGCTTGGGGTTGGAGTTTTTTGCCTCTCTTCCTTCTGCCTTACAGACATGAAGCTGGCTCTGTAGAAGTTGGAAGCGTGTTATTCTTCCTTCTAGTAACGTCTCCTTACAGAAATTGAATTATAATGTACGTTTTGAGGTAAGCCTCTTTTTGAAGACTTCTAAACCCATATTCTCACACTTCCATGCCAGGACCTCAGAATATATATACGAACAAGGTAAAGGGCCAGACTGTGCCTGAAAGATGGAACAGTAGATGGTGAAAGCTTCATTGTGTTTAGAAAATTTAAAGTGTTCGCTTCCTATTTGGGAGCACGAAGCTCAATGCCGTGCTCTGTTTTACAGTTTCTATGGCAGTTTCTGTGTGACAAATTCCTTAATTTCTTTGTATCTCAATCCCCCCTCTATAAAATACAGTAACAGGACTTCACCTCAGAGAAGTTTAAGCACACACATAAATCCTTCCAAGCCCATAAACATTGTTCTTTAAGGTATATCTTTCAAAGGTACTACGATGTTGAGACGAAGTAACTCTGTAACAAAACCAATTCATATTTAAAAACAAAAGGCAGTATGTTTTTCTCCATGTCTTAGGTCTCATGTTTATCCCAACTACCCTTAAAACAATTCTATTTCAAGTGGGACATTTTTGTGTCATCAACAGTCTTCAACAAATCAAATCAGGAAGTTAAAAAGGAATTTTTTTTTTTTAAGATTAGCGATTGCTGCTTTTTGAAACATGCTAATAAAGAAAGAAAATTTCTAGAATGAATCAGTCTGTCCATGTGTTAAGTTTTATAGCTGAATTATAAACCCTTGGGAATATGAGGTCTGTAGCAGAAATGTTTATACATCCTTAACTACAGCTATGCAAGCAACAGCGCTCTAATACAGCACACAGATAAAGATTTACACTAGAAAAAGAGAAAATCCTTTACATTTTGTATGTAAATGATACATAATTTTGAGGCACTGAATATTTCCTATTATAGCAGAACCGCATATATGAAGTGCTGAACTCTATGTATTGTCATTGCTTTCGGTCTTTCAATCCCTTCATTTATGCTGAAAAATTGCAAATCCTTTATGCACGGAGCACTGAAAATGTATAAATATTTTTGAAGAGGTTTCTTAGAAATTAAAAAGCTCTGGTCTCATTTGAGTCAGCCTGTGATGTGATCATAACTTGTGTCAATTATGAAGTCTCAGAGACTGAGGGTTTGTTTTAAGCAAACTGGGTTTTGTTCTTTTTTTGTATTTTACGAAAACAGAAATTTCATGCAATGTTCTTGAAGGAAATATAAGATATCAACTTTTAAAATTCAAATCTATTATTGTACTTATTCATACACAGGAGATACTGCTCAGTCTAACTGCTGTTAAAATATAGAAAAACACTCAGTCCGTGCCTGCAGAATGGATGGAATAGCGTGCCAGTATCTATTCACATTACTTACGCATATATATGCCCCCAAGCAAACACATTCACATCAATATTCGTTTCCTTGTCCCTCTTTCCCAATCCAGATCTAATTGCCTAGATTGTAATATAATTGGTTCTTCCAAGCTTTTGGATTTCATTAACTACTTTCAAAGAAAAAATGAACTTGCAAGTTTGTTCATTGTTAAAGGACAGAATATAGACAATTCTAGTGACTTACTTTTTAAAATGAAAGCTGTGACTTTCAGGGAATTACATTATTCCAAGCAGTAAGACTGAGGTAGAGTCAAACATTGCAAGATGCCTGCAAGGATCACAAGAACTGGCAAAACTGTTTGAGATATTCACAAAAGCTAACTATAAGTGAAGCGAATCTTCCTGTTACTCCCTCTAGAGTAAACAGGAGATGGACTCTTCCATGAAAGCCACCAAATTAGGCTCCCAGTCTGAACTGGACAAGCCAGGAACTTTTCTAGAGGCTGTTGAAAGTCAATTAACTCAGGTAGGTGACACTTAACCTTTGTGAAGGCCTGCACTGGCTTCAGTGCCAGCTTTATGCGTCTCATTGCAAGAACTGGAAAGATACTCCTAACCATGGAGGACCCAGTAGTAATGCAGAGCGAGCTACAGGGTCATGAAAGACACCTGGCACTGCAGAAATACAGGTTCTGACTCAAAGGATGAACGTTGATGATACCACATCCAAAAACTAACACCTAATTTTAACTATGATCCTGTTACATTAAGAGATTTCTCCTCCCCCAGTTAAACACAATTTCAAAAGGGTTTTTGTTTGTTTGTTTGTTTTTTTAAATGAAAAATGCATTTGTGCTTCAGTCCAAAACACTGGACCAAATTGGTTTGGGAAGGAGCAGATGGAGAAGAATAGAATGGCAGCGTATAGACCTCATCACATCTTGGGCAAGTGACCATGCTATGAATTTTAGAGCTGTAGACACACTCCATTGCTAATAAATTAGGATATTGAAAAAGGATTTGGACTACTACTCTATCGGTAACTTTTTTTCCTTATAACAAGGAAGTTCCTTCACCAAAGCATTTTGTATCTTCAACTTCAGTGGTGAACTTGGAGGAGGACATGCTTCAGTCTCCTGCCGACTTCTCTCTTGAACTCCCTGGTAAACTACCAACAAGACAGCCAGTTGGTACCAACAATAAAACTTGGAATGAGTATCGGAAAGAAAACAGCAATTCTGGTGCAGCAAAGGCTTAGCCTTGTTGCAAAAAATTTTGATCAGAAGAGAGTGGAGAAAAATTCTAACAATTTTTCTGGGAAGACAAGTTGTTGATATAGCTGTTATCCTGCTCATCCAACTCAAACTATGTATGCTTTCTTCAAAACATAAAAGATGTTAATCACTCAATATAGTGCTGCCCAAATATCCTGTCTACAAAGATTCTTCATGTGCTGAGAAAACTTCTAGTAAACTACACAGATGATTGGTTAGGCATTCCTGGCTTACTAGGCAACCTTTCTGGATTTTGAGCACAATACCTTTATATCAGTGTCCATCTGATGTAAATGGGACAAAATTCAAGGAAAAAAAAAAAAGGCAGTGAATTCACATTGACTTTTTTCAGTCATGATAATTAAAATATAGAACAGTATGGTCATCAGCTCACAGCAATGACCAGATGGACCTGGCAACAGGGGATGATTATGTGGAAACAACACTCAAAGTTGATTAGAAACATATTCTTTAGAAGTCTCTTAATTGTTATAGTGGAACAGAGAAAACAAGATTAAAAACTGATGACCCAAAGCAGTAATACAGCATCTCTCAATGAGCTCAATATGCTTGCCAACTGCTATCCCCAAGAAGAAAAGACTACACTATACAGTTTTTCCCTATTTACAGGTAACTGGCAATTCAAAAACATTCCAAACTGGCAGACGCAGGAAAGAATAACACTTCAGTAATTCCACATTTGTACTGTAATTAAAAAGGATAAAGCTATTTTAAGGTAACTATGATAACTTCAGCTTGGCATGAATCTCATCCTTGAAGAGTCAAAAGAGTAATTAAAAAAAAAAAAGACTTACTTATTCCATGCTTGTCTAAGATTTTTAGGGCTGTACTGTGTAAACCGTTCTGTAAGAAAAAGAAGAGGCACATTCAATTATTTATGCTAAAACCAGGATTTTTTTTTCAAATATATTTTTCTACTGTCAATTTTCATCATTTCATCATTTCTATGTAACCACTGCGGCTCAAGTCCCAAGACAGGGAAAGAAAACCAGCATAGGAGCAATTGCCATACAAAGAGAGAAAAAAACCCCCCATAAAACAAAACCAAAAATACCCCCCAAACCCCCCAACTTCTTAAAACAAACAAACAAACCAAAACAAACCATCATGACATAAAGCTCATTTACTGTGGCATCACCAGAAATGGAAATTTTTACAATTATTTCTAAAGTAGTATTTGACTGCTAAGGGAAAAAAAAAAGCTTGAAATCTAAATTTTTTTTTTCTTCATCACAAATACTATTCTCTGTGATCTCACTGTCATGTTTTTATGCTTTGCGGGAGGCATAAGAGTAAGTGTGGGTCTGTGTGGCCACGTAACAGTTCATTTTCTAAACAACAACATATAAATAATCAGCAGAAGTAACAAGTACAATGACAGCTTATTTACTCAAACATTAAGTTCTTAAGTTCAGATATAAGTACTTTCCCTCTCATATCCAAGGAGATACTTGCTCTGCAGTAGGACTCCAGTTGGCAGAGGAAGATGCTATGAAATCTGCTGCAGAAGCGAAGGGCCAGTATCTGTTAGTCCTTTGAGCAGGAGCTAAGTGCCTCTCAGGAAGAAAAAAATGCAATCCAGCTGGAGAATATAATAACATTTTCCATGAAGCCTCATCGCACTGAAATCCTACCATGTAGACTGGTACTTGCCCTGGCTAACTACCCTAGTGTGATGGCATTAGTTGCTGTGAAGAAGTCCTAAACTTACAAAATCTCAAAAATTATTTTTGCTTCCTCTCCAGCCATGAACATGACATTTAATAGGCACACTGTACAGTTACAACAGTATTTTTTATATATATATATATATGTGCATACACATATGCATGCATCTTACTGTGCAAAACAACTGTAAATGTTGGGAGGGGTTGTGTTCAAATTCCTGTATTTGTATACTTCACTTATGTCAGTTCTAAAGTTCTCACATATACTTCATAGGTAGTCAGTTCTAAAGATGCAACAACTATGCAAAAACTGTGGCACATACAAAATCCCAGCATCAATGTGGATGATTTTGTTTCGTATGCCTATTTTCTTCTTCTTTAACTAAAAAGTTTTATGCAGAAACTTCAACTTTCATTGACATGGCTATCAGAAGTTTTCAGTAAGTGGTAGACCTGCAAACTGTGTCTGAGGGCCACTTCACATTTACAAATTTTGTTGTATTAACAATACTGATGCAGTTAAAGCAATGAAATCACTCCCTCTTAGATATGTATGACAAGTGTACTGGGAACTGGAAGCTTCATGACTATAACTAGTTTTAGCACCAATATAAATTATAAATATCACTTACGTAATATTGTGTCTGAATTTACTCAAATAACTTTCTTAGCAAAACCCCCAAATGCTAACTACATTATCATACCTTTAAAGGCTTTTAGATGTAGATAAACATATGAAACAAAAGTTTGTAAGGTTTGGGTTTTGGTTTTTTTTTTTTATATTATCAACAAAAAGTTTCTGCACTTTGGAAAATATTGACTATCATAGATGATCATTAAAGTAGCACCTAGTTGACTTCCCCGTGTTATATATAAGATGAATGAAGATATTTAGCTAAGAGAAGACTCTCAGTAACTCTCAGATGTGCCACCATTACACAGTTCTCAATAAACTAAAATTATTAGGTTGAATTTTTATGAACCATGTTATACAGTGTTATAAAGCTTAATTTGTTCTTAGGATTAGGATATTGTAAGAAATAAATTATAGGTCATGTGGTACATTTTACTAACTGAAAATATATTGCTCCATAAATATATCTCCCCAAATAAAGTATTTTTATTGCCAATTTTGTGCGCATTTCTTAAAATATTTGAACTAATTTCTGATATGTCTTATTATTGAAAATGCTACCATATTACTCAGTGTGAACTTGAGAAGCATTTAGATTGAATACCACACTACTGACATTATCCTAAATTTTGTAAATTAGAAGCTCTACAGTACTTTCCAATTACTGATAAAGTCAGTTATCCCAGGAACTTAGCAGCTTGGATACTATAAAAAGGAAAAGCAATTTAAACCATTGCGGTAGGTTTTTTCTCTATTTTCTGTTAAGTCTTGATAACGCAATGAGTGCAGAACATAAGGGGAAAAAAAGAAGTTGCTGGGTACGTTCTTACCGAGAGCAGCAAGTGAAGAGATTTCCTTACAATTTTCTGTGTGCACATACTACAACAAAATAACTTATCACATCAGAGGCATCCAGATTAAAATTATAGGAAGTGCCAATTTCTTTTTATCTCTATTATACATTGCATGCAATGCATCTAACTACAGATGTGCCGATGCCCCAAGGCAGGTCTTTAAATCAAACGGGCAAAGTAGTCAACATCATTCTTAGATGCAGCCATGGTTCAGTACCAGTAACACGGCACTGGAGTCAGTGCCTGTGATTATGTTTTAATGTCCAATAGCAGAAATAAAAACTCAGTATTGAAGCACATGTTTTGTAGTAAGTAGTTCAAGCATCTTATTGGCATTGAGAATATGACCCAAACTTACAAGGGAGAGGAACATTACAATTCAAACTGTACCTGTTGTTTACTAATTCAGCTTCTGCTCTCCAGAGGAAAAGCCTGAACCCCAGTAAGGTCAATAGCCAAGCTGCATTGGCCTCAGCAGGACCTGAGCTCACCCTTGAATTTCAGTTTACAAATGTGAATTAAAAACATATATGCAAGCAGATACTCACCCATAAAAACAGGAAGAAAATAAAGACTTTCTGTACTTTATAAGTAAATAGTCCAACCATAAAACACTGTCCATTCATTTATGACAAAGGACTGAAAAATAAGATGCAGCCAGACAGTGCTGCGTAACAACAAGCCTGAGATACACATGGAAATTCAGCTAATAAAGTGCAGATTTGCACAATAATCTATTTTGGTGCAGAAAAGTGCTGGGTGGAAAGAGAACTGAACTGACTTGAAGCATTGCTGAAAAGCTAACCTCGACCTGGGGAAAGACAGATTTTGATTTTATCTGTCATTCTGCAATATGTTTTGGTCAGTTACTGAGCTGGTTCAAACTGGCACAGCAACACTAACTTCAACAGCGCTACATCCCGTTAAAACAGTTGAGAAGTATCATACACAACATATTTTCTTGACTGGACTGTCAGGGGTTCACTTTAATCAATTTAAGCTATTTTCACTGTGGGAGGAAAACATAGAGTCAACCACTTGGCCAAATTGCCTTAAGGTCTTAATGTCCAAAGATCTGTTTCAGTTCTGCAAGAAACTGAAAAACAACTGCTATGCCAGATGAGTTTTTACTGAAAAAGCGATACACTGGAACCAGTTGTGTAAGTGCTGTCATAAGGGACACGCATAAGCAAAATGAACAAACTTCTCAAAGGGATCTTCCTTCTTTACTCAGTCTACTGCTCTACTCTAAACCTCTTTTTAAATAAGTACCTTAATACACTATATTTATCAGGTAGGGAGAGGGAAAACTAGGGGGGAAAACGTGGATAGGGTGAAACCCTGTCTATAGAGAGGCAAATGTTAGTCCTCAGTCCTTAATTTCAAACTCCATTTATATGCTGCGTGACTGCAGACCATGCTTCTCCTAACCATTGGCATCAACTTTTCCCCCTCTACTCCAAGCAGATTAGAGGCTCCTTGCTTGAAATTCTTTATAAGGAAAGAAACCACATATTGATAAAATACAGCTCACATTTTTCTACACAATTTTGTGGTCGTGCCTCCAACCAGAGTCTTGTTAACTTTCACGGACAGTATAACTAGATGGGACTACTGTAATTAAGCCCAGCCTCGTGTACATGCCAGCTCTTAGTACTTTCCTGAATTAATCCTTCTTCAGTGAATAAAAAACAGAATAACAAAACCAGCTGATTTTGACTTCAGAGCTGCCAGAACAGAGAAGCTACAACAATCTTGTCCTTGAGCTTCTCCATCATGACCCAGTTTTTAAGTCCTGAACTGTGAAAGCACAGTATTATATACCTACGAACACCAATCTTGCAGTCACAACACAGGCAAAAAAAGAGGTAACTTAGCCTCCCAACTTTTATCTGAGGAAATCCTGCTTGTGTCCAATTAATGACAGAACTGGAATTCAGTCTCACAATTACATCCCCAGGTTTGCTTCTGAGTTACTTTTCAGAGTGAACAACTCACACACACCTGTATGAATGCCTCTAGAATGTCCTGTAATACTAGATGGATTTAATACAACCAAATCTAAAGCTATACATATGTGACTGTGACCAACTGCATGAAATTACATTTTATGATACTTTCAAGCATATAGCTTTGGTATTTGTTTTTCAGACGCTCCCATTGATTTGATCATAAAAACCAGTAATATCAGTCAGTAGATCTTGACTGTATGAGAGATCCTGGGAATACTGCAGAATTACCATGAATGCTCCCCCAAAAAAGAAATCTTTGCCTGACATACATTACGAAAGGCAGCAGCATAGGCGATCCAAATCTCAGTCCAACATTGTGGAAGAAACCCCGTGTAGTGAAAACTTACTACCCCTCCCTCAGAACTGAAAGGCAAACAGGCACATGCGAGAATTTCATGTAGACACTCACATTATCACCCACCCACACAACCATCCTCCAGTGCATGCAAGCCACTGTCAAGAACGCGAGGCACACCATCTTGCTGAGGCAGCTGCTCACTCTTACCAGTGCTGAGGTTAAAGAAACCTGAAAAACTGTACGTTTACAGATCAAGATTTGATCTCGGATGTATTTTGGTTTTTTATAGTTCAAATTCTGAGCATATATACAGGAGTTCAAATCTTTTCAGATTATTATTATTAAATGTGCTTATTTTGAATAAAAACACTGGAAGAC